GTAGGTAGGTAGGTAGGTAGGTAGGTAGGTAGGTAGGTAGGTAGGTAGGTAGGTAGGTAGGTAGGTAGGTAGGTAGGTAGGTAGGTAGGTAGGTACGTAGGTAGGTAGGTAGGTAGGTAGGTACGTAGGTAGGTATACCTAGCAGTCCTTGCAGGTTAAGTCATTTTTCTATAAAATACTTAGGCAAGAGACGCTGCGTTGCGATCTGCGTGCTGGCGTTAAGTATTTAGACCTAAGTGGAGAACTCCTTAGATGTAGGAATTTTTTAAGGTAGACGTAGGTGGGCTAGATATGCTATCCTTTGCTAAGGATAATGTCGCTGCCGGCACCAAGCACTAGACTAGCACGACTAGATTATATGTAGGTCAGTAATTACCCGATAGCCAAGAAGCCCCAAAAGACGGGCTCACCGGTACGCTAAGGACCGCTAAAGAAAAGAAAGCTTTGCCAAGGTGCATGTACCTAGGTACCTATGACACACTTGTGCCTGGATCCACTTGCCCGGATCTTGCTATAAACTTGCACCATCGAAGAGAGTCGAGCAGCAAAGCACCCTGATACCAAGTTTTCTGTTGCAACGCAATACCTGATACAGGAGTAAATAGAAAGGTTGACCCTGGTCTTGCTACCTCGTACCAATCTCAAAATTCTCTGAGCTTTGGATGCTAAAGAAGACGCGTTGTGCTAGTACTGTCGAGAGTCTCGGGACCTTCCAAAATTTAGCGTCGTCAGGGGGTGGGTAGGTAACATCCCAATGTGAAGTCTGGAAAGTTCCGATCGGGGAGGTCTTGACTGTGGTCTTGGTCACTACTCGTACCTACCTTACCCAGAACAGACTAATGAATAAAATGAGCCCAATCTGGCGCAAAGGCAAGAAGTATCGCCAAATGTTCTAGAAAGTCTATTGTTCTGTCAAATTTCACCCAATTCCTGGCTGTGCAGATTCTGAAAGTTTTGTGCGTTGAACTCCTTGTTCGGGCCATGCATAACTACCTACTGTATCCTTGCTATGCATTGCTGAAAAGGGCAAGAATCCTAGTCAAGATTCTCCTTGATTGGCCGCGCTACTCGGCATTTCGTGGAGACGTGAGCATATAGCGTTTTTAGCAGAATTTTCGCCTGGCGTTATCACGAATCCGGGCTTAAGCGCCACCTCTGTGTGAGAAGAGCCTCTCCGCCACCGCAACCCGTTCGCGGCCTATACCGATAACCAATTGGAGCCCCATTGGCCCACCCTGTCATACTCGTAAATGGCAATATCTCCAGTTGAGAAGATTTTTCTCCCTTGGCCAACCGGGTAGAGGTGGTGACCCGTAGAGGGTGGAGAGGATGGTACCGCCTCGCGAGTCGGCGTCATAAGTGCAGTTCTTCCAAACTTCCGTCTACTCCTCTCCCCAGACTTTCTATGTGTCAAAGCTGGTCCCCTACTGGCCCTGGTAGGTTTCGGCTGTCACGATCATAATGGCTTCCTACACGTCCGCCCCGAGCGTAAACGCCGCGCCCATGGCTGCGGCGATGCCTGAAACCGAGAAGAGCTTGGGTACGGCCCTCAACGATTCGTCCATCGATGGCTCGGAGAAGGACTTGGAGGACGGACAGGGCCTGAAGCGAGGCTTGAGCAGTTGGCATCTGCAATTCATTGCCATAGGAGGAACCGTCGGCACTGGAGTGGTGAGCTTCTCTTTTCCTTCCTCTACAGAGGAGATCGGCCTTCTGATAGATAGCAGTTCCTCGGAAGCGGAAAGGCCCTCGCGACAGCAGGCCCTGTCGGGTGTCTGATCGCCTTTATATTCGTCGGTTCCATTGTTTACTCGGTCATGCACAGCTTGGGCGAGATGGCAACCTTCATGCCCGTCGCCGGATCTTTCACCGCCTACGCGACACGATTCGTCGACCCCTCGCTCGGCTTCTCGATGGGATGGATTTACTGGTTCAGTTGGTCCTGTACCTTTGCGCTGGAACTTGTCGGGTCTGGTCTTATAATGCAGTACTGGGATAAATCCCTTAGCGTTGGCATCTTCATCGCTATATTTTGGGTCGTGTTCACGGCTTGCAACTTCTTGCCGATACGATGGTTTGGAGAGTTCGAATTTTATTTCGTCTCCATCAAAGTTGTCACCGTCGTTGGCTTCATCATCTTCGCCATCTGTATCGATGCCGGCGCCGGTCAGCACGGATATCTCGGGTTTGATGCATGGGTCCGCCCAGGCCCATTTGTCGAATATATAGTCCCTGGAAACACGGGCAAGTTTGTTGGCTTTTGGTCTGTCCTCGTGACAGCAGGATTCTCTTACCAAGGTACAGAGCTTGTCGGTGTCGGTGCAGGCGAGACGGCGGATCCGGCCAAGAATGTGCCGTCAGCCATTCGGTGGACATTCTGGGGGGTCTTCGGCATTTTCGTCTCAACCATTTTCTTCATCGGGATCACAGTGCCGTCGGATAACCCGGATCTCCTCAAGGATGCGAACGATGCTTCGGCGTCCCCCTTGGTTATCGCAGCCAAGTTGGCAGGCGTACGGGTTCTTCCACATATCATCAACGGCGTCCTTCTAACAGCAGTGCTTTCGGCCGCCAATTCCTGTGTATATTCTAGCAGTCGGATATTGGTTGCGCTGGCCGAGGAAGGCCAGGCTCCTGCTTTCTTCTCCAAGACGAACCGTTTTGGCACACCTTTCTACGCCGTCTTAGCCTCGGCCGCGATCGGGCTACTCGCGTTCCTTAACCTATCATCCGGCGGCGGCCAAGTGTTCAACTGGCTCTTGAACATTGCCAGCATCGCCGGCTTCATCGGTTGGTGCTGCATCAGCATCTCCCACCTGTACTTCATGAAGGCGCTACGATTTCAAGGCATTCCGCGCGAATCTCTCGCATTCCAGGCACCGATGCAACCATACCTGACCATTTACGGGCTGTTCTTTTGCGTCCTCATTCTGTTGACGAACGGGTTCACGGCCTTTATCCATTGGAATGTCAGCGAGTTCTTTGCGGCATATATCAGCCTCATCTTATTCCTTGTTCTCTATCTGGGGCACAAGCTGTTTTTCCGGACCAAAATCGTGGCTGTGGCGGATATTGACCTTGAACGTGACCGGGCGAGGTAGGAGGGCTAGTGTTATGTATAGACGATGTATTATGAATGTTATGTTTATAGAAGAATTGATTATTTTCCGTGGAACCGACGCCGTATTTATTTGTTCCGTCCTGATACCAAGCTTTTTTCTGCCCTGGCTAAGGCCATGTGAAGAAAAGAGAAATATTTTCCTCAAAGCAAGCAATGTATGTTTGCAACATAGTTGGTGTTACTAGTAGCAGTGTAAGCTTAAAACGATGACGCTCCTTTAACTTATGGATAACAATCATTAGGCTCGTGTTATAGTTGCCTTCATCTCTAAATAAGACAAATAATAAAGGGATTCAACTTCCTGATAACTGTGAGTCTTAAGCAATCAAGTGTAGCTAGATAGGTTTTACCCCTGAGGTAATTCCTTTAAGTGCTCAAACTTACGGTAATAAAAAGGTGTATGCATGTATATGATAGTATATATATATACCCGTATACCTATGCATATATACGTAAAGGCACAGGTTACCTGGGCCAATTAGGGCAGGTCGCAGTCACCTCTAGGTTAGCCGACTGCGCTAATGAGAAGGAACTATCACATGAATTCTCCATCCTTTACAACAGACTACAGTTTCCTTTATCTATGATCTTGCGCGAATTTTGCTTCAACAATTGGTCGGGAGTTCCTCTGGAACATCCTCCGGGCTTGTGGTTTAGTGGTATAATACTCCCTTAGCATAGTCTGAGAACAATAGATTCGCAGCATGATGTGGGAGTGGTCCGGGGTTCGATTCCCCGCGAGTCCATCATCGGTGGTTCAATTCCACCTATACCTCATTCTTTTTATTTTTTTCCCCAACATACTTTCTTCCATCCTTGTTGGATTTGTCAAGCTGATCCCCGAGGAGAGGGTTTCACAATATCTGGATGTCTTTTTCTCTTCCAACCTGGAGCTGCGCTGTCAATTTTTGTCTCACCCTGTGACTGACCAACACATTAAACTGATGAGCGACTACGAACATCAACCGATATGTTCATAAAATATCCCCCGGGACATAGCCACAAAAACCAGTACCTAAATAGCATACAGCATGTGACGCAAGCGACGACTTTATTGCCTTGTATCAGGAGGTCCCGTATACGATGACAGACTCAAATCAGTCCGCTTTTGAATATGCCAACATTTTTTGTCACACGTATCAACCGGTCATACATTCCCATGGCAGTTGATGTTTGCCTCGCTGCCTACGACTTCCTTGTTATGTCTAGGCAATCGAACAAATAGCCTTTTCCGTGATTTATATGGCCTGCCCTTGCCAGTCTTGTATCCAACTTCCTTGGAACATCCTTTGATGTCCACTAACATACTTACCTACCCCTTGGCCGGTACTCAGAGCCTCTAGTAAGGAGCGCTGTGAGTCCATCTACATACTTAAAACTGTTAACCCTTGCGTATACATAGTCAATAGTTGTATGCAAGCTTTTTATATGTAATCCCACGTTGGTATTTCTTACATATCCGCATATACAGTTCCCTTCCCATTGGCTACATATATCATATATTAACGCGTCATCGCATCACTACTTAGCCTCTCACGTCTCAGGAAACACGACGATGCAGCAGATATTCGCTACTGTCGTATGCATAGCTAGTCTAGCGCTCGGGGTGGGTGCTATGGCGCCCACAGGACTCGATATTAATGACCCAGGCATGTAATTCAAGGAGTCTTTTCCACGTCGTATCACATCACCAGCCCTATTTGGCTGACCATCCCCAAGTATCCATCAGGTCAGTTGCGAGTACGATCGCTTATGGCACGATGAGCTATTATACGGGAAATATTACAAATGCACCCGAGGTTTGTGGGGAGCCACCCCCCGCCCCCTTTGGCAGTTCATAGGAGCTGATGACGATATTACAGACGATTGGTATCTTTCCACCGCCACACTGTAAGTTTTTTAACACTTCTATGAAGAAAGTAATCCAGGAATGTAACATCATGTCGCGGCAGACTGGTGGCAAGCTGGCGCTTGTTGGGGAGCAATGCTGGACTATTCTCATTATACGGGCGAAACAAGCTACGATTCCGTGACAAGACAGGCATTGCTGAGTCAGGTCGGTCCCCAATATGACTTTATGGTTCCCCGATATCACGGTTCTGAAGGCAACGACGATCAGGCTTTCTGGGCTTTCGCAATTCTGGACGCGGCAGAGCACAACTTCCCTCAACCTGATAGCTCCATCCCTCCTTGGTTGAAGATGGCGGAAAATATTTGGAATAGTATGGTGCCGAGATGGGACGACACAAGTTGTGGCGGTGGCCTACGCTGGCAGATATTCGCGGACAATCCCAACGGCCTGGATTACAAAGCCGCAGTGGCCAACGGTGGCTTCTTTCAGATGTCGGCACGGTTGGCTAGAGCGACTGGAAACGATACGTATCTTGGTTGGGCCGAAAAGGTGTGGGACTGGTCGCAGGACATCGGCCTCATCAACAAGAACTTCGATGTGTTGGACGGCGCCAGTTCAAGGGAAGAATGCAAAAAGATCAACCCTGTCAGCTTCTCGTATTCTCAGGGCATATACATGTACGGAGCAGCCATGCTTTTCAACCACACAGGCGGGAACAGGATATGGGCACACCGGACAAACGGCCTTTTACAGGCCGCGCGAAGCTACTTCAGCCCGTTCCCCAATGCCACGAATATCATGTATGAACATGCCTGCGAGCCTTATGGCACATGTAATACGGATATGAAGTCGTTCAAGGGTTATCTCTCGCGCTTCATGGCCAAAACAGCGCAGATGATGCCCTCCACACGTCACGATGTAGAAGAACTCCTCCGTGCTTCGGCAGTTGCCGCCGCAAAGACCTGTTCCGGCGGTGATCATGGCACCTCTTGTGGCCAGAAATGGTATGTTGGCGGTTACGATGGGAATACAGGCCTAGGTCAACAGATGACTGCCCTCGAGACCGTACAGGCTCTGCTTGCATTTGCTGCTAAGCCACCTTTGGGAGCCGGCCAGATCCGCCACGTCTCGTCGTCAACAACGAGCATGCCGTGGACCACGACTGTTTCAGTCGTCCCCTCCACTGGAAGGACGACAACACTGACATTGACGAGAACTACGACGAGATCTAGAATAATATTCCCGTCGAGGTTGACAACATCACCGGTGACGAGCAATACATCCTCAGCACCACCGCCTACAGATTTGCCTACAGATTCACAGGAGTCTGTTGCTCATACCCGTATACTTTTCTTTCTTAATTTGATATTGGCGTTGCTCTCACTTATTATGGCTTTTGTAGTAGACTTATGATTACCTAACGGGAGGAAAGCGATTTGTTTTGTCATTTCTTGGGTTTCCCACATAAGCGTTGTAAGGAAAACAAGCATAATTCATTAGCGTTTATACTACTATCGGGGACCTGCTTTGTTTAATTCTATCAGCGGGTGTTCTCCTCGGTGACTTGGCGGTAGGCTAGATGGATAGCTCCGATCGGAGCCCCATACATCGAATAGTTTGTTAAAGTACCCCATGTAGTAGATGAGTCTCAGCAAACTTCTGACTCAAGCGCTCTTGTTCAAAATAGAACCGATAAGGAGGTAGCATCAAGTTATTTGTTTAGTATCCGACATCTGTCAGAAGTTATATTTACGGGAAGAAAAGGCCCAGATATTACCAAAACTGTCTCACCGGACTTACCGGGACTCATGATGGGTGCCTTTAATCTCGAGACCTGTGCAAGGTCCAACATCTTGGCGCTCCAACCCTACAGATGCGCAAGAGAGTACGGCCACTTGAAATCGCATCCCTGTCAAGTAGAAATGAAAATCTGACATTCTGGACTGCACAGTGACTACAAGGACGACGGCACAAACATATTACTAGATGCCAACGAGAATGCTTACGGCCCCTCGTTGGCAAATACCGACGCCTCGGCCCCGTCATCGGCGTCGGGGCCCGACATTGATTTCCGGGGCCTGCACAGGTATCCAGACCCGCACCAGCGGGAACTGAAGCAGTTACTGTGCAACCTGCGTAATACTCACCACCACACCCAGAAGACCATCACGCCCGACAACTTGTTCGTCGGCGTGGGTAGCGACGAGGCCATCGATGGTCTCATGCGGTGTTTCTGCGTCCCCGGCCGGGACAGGATCTTGGTCTGTCCGCCAACCTACGGCATGTATTCGGTCTCGGCGCAAGTCAACGATGTAGGATTAGTGAGCGTACCACTACTGCCGGCCCCGACCTTTGGGCTCGACGTGCCCAAGATAAAAGAGGCGCTGTCGAACGACTCCAACAACATCAAACTTGCATACGTCTGCTCCCCAGGTAACCCGACGGGCGCCCCGCTCGCCAAAGACGACATCCGCCAGCTACTGGAACACCCGACCTGGAACGGCGTGGTCGTGGTCGACGAGGCGTACATAGACTTCTCGCCCGAGGGCGCCTCACTGGCCGAATGGGTCGCCGAATGGCCCAACCTCGCCGTGATGCAGACGTCTTCCAAAGGCTTCGGCATGGCGGGCATCCGCATGGGCTCCCTCTTCACGTCGGAACCCATCGCCGCGCTCCTCAACAACATGAAGGCGCCCTATAACCTCCCCAGCCCCACGAGCGCCTTGGCCCTATACGCCTTCTCGCCCGGCGGTCTGGCGGTCATGCGCGGCAACAGGGAGAAGATCGTGGCACAGCGGGACCGTCTAGTGCGCGAATTGCCCAAGATCAAGGGCGTAGGTCGTCTACGCGGCGGCGTCGAGAGCAACTTCCTGCTCTACGAGATCCTGGGTAGAGATGGCGAGCCGGACAACGCCACGGCGCTCGCCGTATACGAGACCCTGGCGGAGAACAAGGGTGTCGTCGTGCGCTTCAGGGGTAAGGAGCACGGATGTCTTGGTTGTTTACGGATCACGGTGGGGACAGAGGCCGAGGTCACGAGATTTTTGCAGGCGCTGGAAAAGACTGTCGCGGCGATTAATGGACATGATCTCTCGGTTGGAAATGACGAGGAGAAAAAGGAGATGGAGGCCAATGCTGTTATTGCTTAACCTACCTAGATTCTACAATACCTCCGAAAGATACCTACTAAAGAAAGTGATGGTAGGTAATTAGACTAGGTCTAGCATTCTCAGTTCTGTCTATGTGGCCTTTTTAAGACTAAGTACCTGCGAGATATCTAGAGTGCAATCGTCATCATTTCTACTAGGTAGTTTACAGTATAAACCAATTTCTAACTGCTCTCGAGTGTTTGCGCGCGCGACGCGACGCCCGTTCCAAGATCACGTTTTAGTGTCTAAATTGGGTTATAAGGGTTTTCTGACGTCGTGCCCCCGCCCCCACCATCTTTCCGGCAAATTCGAAATACTTGGCTATGAGCAAGCAAGCAATGCGACCGGTTATGAGACGAGTATCATCAACGCTCAGAAAAACAACTAATTGGTTCGTCATTTTTAAGATACAAAACTGCTTGTGAAAATATCAAGAGCTCCAAATATATTACGACATAAATTGTGGCTGGCTCAAGATGCGCGTAACAGAAGTCAGCGACGAGGTCGCAGAGGACCTCAAATCACAATCTCAGCCCTCACAGACAACACCAGAAGGGACATCAACAGAGAAATCGCAACCAGAAGATGCCGCGTTGCCAGCGGCGCCAGCCATGTTCCCAGAACTCTCACCAGGCCGCTCAATGACGGGAAAGAAGACAGTAGACGAGGTGGTAGCGGAGCTCAAAAGAACGCCATTCTTCATGACAGAATTAGAAGAAAATGACGAGACGGAAGCATTCAAAGC